CCCCAGGCCCGGCCCCGCGCACGCGTGGGAAAGTTGGCCTGGAACCGGCCCGACCAGTTCTGCCTGGGCGCGCGGACCGGCCGCAGGAAGTTGGTGCAAAACTTTTTTGGGGGGTGCAGCCGGTGCCCCCCGCGCGCCGGGCCCGGATGCGTGCCGGGTAGGGTCCCCCCGGGCCGAGAGGGGTGCCCGGAGGGAGGAGCACGGAGGGGGCGCCCCGGCCCCGCTGCCCTGGGGCTATGGCCATGGTGACCGGCGGCTGGGGCGGCCCCGGCAGCGGCGGCGGCGACACGAACGGCGTGGATAAGGCGGGCGGCTACCCGCGCGCGGCCGAGGAAGACTCGGCCTCACCTCCCGGCGCCGCCAGCGACGCTGAGCCGGGCGACGAAGAGCGGCCAGGGCTGCAGGTGGACTGCGTGGTGTGCGGGGACAAGTCGAGCGGCAAGCACTACGGCGTCTTCACCTGCGAGGGCTGCAAGAGCTTCTTCAAGCGGAGCATCCGCCGCAACCTCAGCTACACCTGCCGGTGAGCCCCCTATCAGCGCACCGCCGCTGTGCACCCGGCCCCGGCTTGAGCCGGGCCTCTGACCTGCTCGGTCACCTTGGGCCTGGCGCTGACCTTCCCTGGGCCTCCACTCCCCCTCTGAGATAGGGGCACAGCCCCCTCTCCCCACCTCCATTCCACTCCTGGGATTGTGTATACAGTCGGCGCTGTATCGATGCAGGTCCCCCCCGTCAGGTGGTCCCTTGCGGCTTCCGCCTCAGTTCATTGCTCCTTCTCCCTCCCTCCCTTTTCTCCGGAGAGGGGTGATCTCCGCGCGGGGAGGGGTTGGGGGTGCTGTCAGGGGTGGGGCCCTAACCCCAGGGCATCCCTTCTCTTGGGGATCTCGGTGCGCAGGGGACCCCTCGGGAATCGAACGTGGAACTTGGACTGTGGAGCTCGCAGCGTCCAGGGGCCATTGTCTGCGGCCGCGCGGATCGATACGGCGCGCCCTTGGGGTCAAATATCACTTCCAAAGTCGCCCTGGCCACCGAGGCGGCGGCGGCGGCAGGAGCGAGGCCGGGGTGGCACAGGGCGGCCTCTTTCGCTTGAGGAGCCCTGCTGTGGGGAGAGATGGGCTTGTCCATCCGGGGGGGACTCCCCCCACCCTGCGCTCACCCTGGGCCTTGGGTCACCGGAAACCGCCGCTGCAGGGCTGGGAGGGCGGCGGGATTTGACCACACCTCGGCAGCTCCAGCCCTCCCCCCACCAGGAGTGGGTGCAGACCTGGGGCTGCTGGAAAATCCCTGAAACTTCAGTCGTCTCTGACAGGGTGGGGGTGAATGTTTCCAAGAAGGAGCCCTGGGCTGTCCTGGGTTGGAGTCCCCGCTGACAGGGTGTGGCCTTGCTAGTTCCTTTGGTTGGCGCTGAGGTTGGGTGTCTAGCCCAGGGCCCTCTTCCTATCGCTCTTCCATGAGTGCCCTTTTGCTCCGTTGACAGGCTCCTACTCTGCTTCCCAGCATGAACATGCATAGGCTCTGCCGAGCCAGTATGGAGAGTCCCATTTTCCAGATGTGCAAAACTGAGGCCCACAGAGGTCCCGGCACTGCCCTGGCAGGGGAGAGACCCTGCCCCATGTGGGGCTTAGCAAGGGGAACTGGGGTTGGGAAGAGGGTAGGAGCTGAGTCCTGGTCAGGGTGTCCCCGGGGAGAGGGCAGCCGATGGAGGGCTTGTTGGTGAGGCCGAAGGGCGGGGCCCCAGGTCCCAGAGGCTGGAGTTTGGCCCCAGGTCTGCAGTCAGGGCCTTGTCTGGGGTAGCTCTGTGTGTGTGTGTGTGTGTGTGTGTGTGTGAGCGAGCTGGCTTACTCCCTCCTCCAGTGCTAACTGGGCCACCAGACTTTGGCCTCATTCTTGTTGCTGGAATAACTGCCTGATCTCTGGCCAGGTCTTTGGGGAGGGCAAGGGAGGAGCTTAGGTGGTTTTAGGGTCCCAGGGGCTCTCTGAGGGTGGGAGTGGGGAGCACCAAGACAGGGGAGGGAGGAGTTGTTTGGGGCCTGCAGGTTCTTCAGAAGCTCTGCACTGTGTGGCCTGGTGAAGTCACTGCTCCTCTCTGAGCCTCAGATAGATTCAGCAAGGTTCCCTCAGGGCCTCGCCTGGGTGATTTGATGCCAGTCCCCCAAAGAGACCCCAGCTCCAATCCCAGCTCTCTTCCAGCCTGGAGGAGACACAGTGAGACACGGACGCTCTCTGCCTGTGGAGTCTGGGCTGGGCCAGAGGGAGGGGACGGGTCTGAAGTCCCAGGACGGAGCGAGGGGCTCTACCCGAGGTTCAGGGAGGGCTGCCTGGAGGAGGCCCGTGGAAGGTGAACCTTGAAGCAGGAGGGGCTTGGCAGGTAGAGGAGGTGAAGGGCACTCCCGCAGAGAGCATGGCCCAGACACACACTCAGTGGCAGGTTAGGGGAGCAGCATTGTAGGTGCAGACCACCCAGGCATGGGAGAAGTTAGAGCTGAGTGGATCTGAAGTGCTGGACTGAGGGTGACAGGGAACCAAGGAGGGTATGTGGGCAAGGGAGGGCAGTGATCAAATTGGACCAAAGGCCAGAAGCCCAGGGAGGAGGCTGAGCGGGGTCATGGGGTTGGGCAGAGCCTGTGCTCTTTAGGGGGGGGATAACAGGTGGAACTTACCGTTGCCCCGTCTGGAGGGACAGGAGGTCTGTCCCAACCCCACAGCTGGGGAAGTTGAGGCAGAAGCTTCAGGACCTCCCCTGAGGTCAGGGGCCCTGAGCTGGGCCCCTGCCTGCCTGCCCTAGGCCTAGCTGTTTCCACCCGGCTGCCCAGGACCCTCCCACTGCCTGCCTGCTGGGCTTTGTTCTGGTTCTGCCTGAGCTCCCTCCACCCTACCAGGGCCTCTTCCTGGGGGCTCAGGCCAGGCAGCAGACAGAGGCCCTGGCTTAGAAGCTGGTGCTTTGGGATCTGGGTCCTTGGAGACCCCCAGGGCCTCAGCTCTCCTGAGCCTGCCATTGAAGCGCTCCAGCGTGAGCTTGGGTCCTGATGCCCTCCCCAGAGGCCCCCCAGATTCCCCCAGACACAGTGCATCCCACGTGGAGTGGGCATCGGGCCTCCCGTTTCCAGATGAGGCAACTGAGGTTCGGCGGAGAAGTTGTCGCCCCATGGTTGGGGCTGAGATGTGTTTGCTTTTCAACTCGATTGAACGTGTGTTTCACTCTGTGACTGTCGCTGGGTATCCTCTTGGTGCCCAGATGGGACGCTAGGGGTGTCTGCCCCAGGTCTGGGCCTTGGAGAGCCCTGAGTCCAGGATAGAGAGACACAGAAGGAGTGCAGGGGCTGGGGGCCAAGGGGAGGAAGTGCTGGGGAAATTTGAAAAACAAGGGCCTGAACCTTCCTGCTTGGGACTGACCCTGGATGGGGAGCTCATGGTCTTGCAAGGCGGGGCCACCTTCCCCTCCCTGGAACCGGCAGTTATCCCTGAGGGCCACCCAGAAGAAGCTTCTCAGGCTCAGCTGGGAGCTGGAAGGTCTTCCCAGAGGAGGTGTGGGGTCTTCAAGGGAAGAGAGGAGTTCATTCGTTCGTTCACTCATTCATTTATTCATTGATGGTGGTCTTGTGCAGGGCGATAATACTGGGGCCCTACTGTGCCCATACCAGGATTGGCCCTGGCCTGGCCCCTAGTCTCTTAGTTAACTCACAAAGCCCGGCTCCCTGTCCGCGTACCTTTGCCGTTCTGACGTTGCCTTTGGGACAAAGACCCCACCCCTTGGGCCAGCAATGAGCAAGTAACTATGAAACTGGGCTTTGGTGTTTTTACATTTCCAACCTTTTCCTCTTGTGCACTCTCTGCCTGGAGTCGCCTCTCCGTTCAGGGGAACTAACTTCTGGGCAGCCTTCACGACCCCGTGCCCACACACCCTCCCGAGCGGGCCATTCTCCTTTGCCATAGACTCCGTTCGTCGCCACCTGCTCCCAGCTGCCCTTCTCCCCTTTGCAGGCTTAGCCCCTGTGCCCCTGTGGGGATACCTGCGCAGCCTGGGGTAGGGGGCCACTGGTATTTCTGGGGCGTAGCCCTCCACGGTGGCTTACGGGGTGGCTCGGGGAGCAGGATGTGGGTGTCACGGCGACCCTCCCGCCTGCCTGTAGGTCTAACCGTGACTGCCAGATTGACCAGCATCACCGGAACCAGTGCCAATACTGTCGCCTGAAGAAGTGCTTCCGGGTGGGCATGAGGAAGGAGGGTGAGTACCCGCTGGTGTGGGACAGGCAGAGGGTGAACCAGCAGCCCTCCCCTCTCTTCCCTCTCTCGGGGGCCTGGGAGCCATGGAGGGTGGGGTCTGGCGCCTGTTAACCTTGTTACCACCGATCCCAAGATCCCGTGGGCCTCAGTCGGGCCCCGGGGCTGGAGGAATGCGATTATCCGTGGTCACCTGGCGGCCGCGGCGGAACTGGGGACGCGAGGGACACCCTGATTCAGGCCCACGTTAGGACTGTTCTGCTCCCCACCTCCTCTTCTCCAGGCCTCCTGGCCTGGGAGTCACATTCCTTGGTCCTGACACCTTGGTGGCTCCTTTGCCCCCTAGGTGGCCAACGCATTCCGAATAAGGATGTGTTGTTTGTTTTGTGTTGTGTTGTGTTGTGTTGTTTTGATTGCTTTCCTCCATCCTCCACTCCTGGCTTTGTGTTTGCCCAAGGCAGGAACTCGCCGATTAAGGCAAAGGGCAGCTTACCCTTCCGCCTGACCCCGGGCACTGGGAGCCAGAGGGAGGCTCAGCCCCTTGTTTCTGCCCTGGGGACCTGAGTGGACACGTGCTGGGCAGCTGGGTCCAGACCTGGACCAAGCACTCTTAGAATTCAGTTGGAATCCAGAGACTTCCACATGGAGCCTGGTGGGCTTGGGAGCTAAATCTGGCTCATTGGACCAGAATCCCAGGCTGGGCTTCCTGTCTTGGCCCCGGACTCTCATGGCCAGTTTGGCAATTCTCCCCTGCATCTTGAATCTCTCCTGCTCTAAAGTTGGTTTCTTCTCTGCTGGCCTCTGTGCAAGAAGCTGGCAATGGCTGCTCAGTCTTTCCCTTAAAACTGATTACTCTCTTTGGTCCTGCTAAATTTGGAGACGGTTTGCACCACCCCCACAACCTGGATTTTGCCTCCACTTGTTCATTTGACCTAAACTGCTGATACACCTCAGATCTCCAAAGTCTCAGGACTGGGAAGTAATCATCATCCTAGCTCATGCCCCAAGCACAGTCCCATCTCAGGGCCTTTGCACAGGCTGTGCCTTCTGCCTGGAGCACTCCAGATGCCTGCATGGCTTCCTTACTGCTTTTAAGATTTGCTTAAAGGACACCTCCTCAGAGAAGCCCTCCTGATTACTCTTCACCGGCCCCCTTTATTTTGCACCATCTGCCTTGCTCTGTAATTTACTTGCTCTCCCACCAGAATACATATCTAGTCTTTGAGGGCAGGGACTTCTGTCTGTCTTGTTTTCTGACATATTCCCAGGGCCTAGAACACGGAAGGTACTTAATAAACGTTTTTTGGCTTGAATTACTACCCGTTTAGCCCTTACTATATGCCTAGTGCTGTTCTAAGCAAGTTAGGTCAATTCTCATTAATTTAGTGATTGGTGTCATCACCGGTATTACCACCTGCATCGTACAGATGGGGAAACTGAGCACAGAGAGCAGAGAAGTGAGGCTGTTCGCTAGGGTCAGAGCAGTAGAGTTGGGTTGAGACTCGAACCCATGCAGTGTGGGCTGAATGAAGAGGAAGGGCTGGGGAAGGGGTTCTCAGGAAGGAGGAACAGTAAGTGCAAAGGCTCTGAGGTAGGAACAAGGCTGGGTGATGGATGAATGCTGGAGGTAGGGTTAAGAACTGAGCGAGCAAAGACGGAAGGAGCAGGTCACTCCCTGGGGGCCAGGATGTTGAGCTGGGATTCACTCTCTGGCCTTATCCAGCTACACCCTTACGATAGTGGATCCTGAGACTTAGAAATCACGTGGAGCCTCCAGCCTAAGCCCTCACTTCCCAGCTCAGCTCTACTAGCCCCTGGCTCCCACCCACATTCTCTTCCCCACTCATTCCATGGCTGGTTGACCAGGAGTTCGTGGAGAGGAGACAGGGCAAGCCAGCTCATTAAAAGATCATTACCTAGTTTCTGTCTGGCCCTCAGCTCAGTCTGCCCCTCCGTCCCACCCGTCCTGGCACAGGTCAGGTGAGCATGTGGCCACCCTGCCTCCTCTTTGTGCCTCAGTTTCCTTCTTCCCATCTACCTGAATCTTGGGGACACTGACTGAAGCCAGCAGCGGATTCTCCCCTCTTAATGGGCAAGATAGTAATTTAATGTTTATTGAGCACCTACTATGTAGGGTAGGACTCCACTCCTGGGGTCACTGCAGACCAAGGAGACCTGCCCTAGGGAGCTATGACCTGGGGGTGGGGGTGGGGTTGGGAGCTAGAGAAAAGATCCCATCTCCATAGGAGAGATCACTTGCTTAAGGATAGGCTGGCCAGGAGCCCTGAGTAGTGTGAAGGTGACCCCTCTCTGGCCCCATTATCAGTTCCAGACTCCCATGATTGACAGATGGGGACATGATGGATGGATCAAGCCTCCATGGCTGCTGAGTGGAGCTCACACCGTCCAGAGGGAGGGGGCCAGGCATGAATTAGCCTTTATCTAATGGTCCCATCCCAACCCCCGCCCCATGCTCCTCGGCAAGAAGTGGGGGTGGGAGCGGTGGCTGGACTGGACGGGGGCTTAGGCTGAGGGCGGCACAGGGCAGAGCAGGGTGGGGCCTGCAGGACCCAGGACGGGGGGGGGGGGGGGTCCCTGGTCTCCCAATAAACTGTGCACCCATGGGGTGGGGTTGGAGGTCCAGGGAGAGCCTGGGTGTGGGGAGCCTTTGAGGGGAGGGGTTGAGTGACCCTCTGATGACTTTATCTTTCCCCCTCTTTTCCTCCTCCCCCCCCCCC